GTAGTGGTGTGTAATACTTAGTGAATTCAACAATTCTCCAGTGCTCTGCAGGAACGGGGGATTTGCTTGTATTTATTTCCACTTTCGTGATGGTATTGTTTGGTGTTCCGAGGTAGATTTTAAGGACACATAGTAAGTCTAGGCAATGTTTTCGTTGTATATTTAGTCAAGTAATTTGCTATACGTGCTGACAATATTTAAACCGATATCCTTGATATCTCTACTGGCGTTAGCTGCGCATCCACCCACACTTGCACCAACCACTGGTCCTTCTTTTCTCTGTGTGATGGCAATCATTCCTACTATTGCTTGGGCAAATAGGCGTGCGAGAGCCAAATCGAGCGACAGTGCACTGCTTCAGTTCCTAGGCAATCTGTCCTCGATTCATCTTCTCGCCTCGTTCAACATCCCCCCTTGTCTCACCTGACTCACGCTGACTGGCTTACAGAAGATTCACTCCGGATGATCCAAAGGTGCGCGAGGCACATTCGTGCATGTGTAGCCTGATGATGCGAGGCATACTTAACGAGTTTCGACGAGGTTGAGGGTTGGTTAATGCCTGTGGAGAAGCTTGCCTTTCACTTTTATTCGACAGGGCGGAAATACAGATATGAATATGAATGTGAATGTGAATTGTCACTGAAGCGTTATTCGGGGGTACATGTACCCTATTAAGCATTGTAATGAGAATGCCATGAGTAAGCTTAAATAAAGAAATATTTTCTTGCGTCCTTTCTTTAGCTAGACCCAGAGCCTCTGGGGAATTAGGGGAATTTGAAGGAATTGAGGGTACTCACGTCTGAGCATCGCACACTAAACATAAAACGGCTTGTCTGCATAGTTCCAAACGGTGACACCGACGCACCCAGGAACAGATATGCAGGCACCAGCACCAGCGATAGTGCAGGAGTCGATCATCTGCTGCTGGATGCCAGGTTGTGGACGTGATGGCGACTTCGAGATAGGGAAGGCTGAATCTCTCGATGTAGCTGGCTGGCAGTGACTGCCTCCAGGACTTAGCGGGACTTGTAAAATAATTGCGTGGATGCGGCCAAGATGTCTTCAACAGCCTTGACAATGACATCGAAGTTGGGGCCTTGATTTAGGATCTCAAAATTTGAAAGTTCAAAATGTGATTATAGGATACGTGGACGCTCACGTTTTTCCACGGGAATGTATTTATGGATAGTCCAGAGTTGTGACCTACACCGATGCGCACTTAGTTGGAAGGAGAGAAAATCCAGTAGGGCGACGCAAGAGAATGATATCGAGTCAACTAGCCAGGAAGGAAACTTGTAAATAAAATGTAAGTGCGGCTGCAGTTCGAGATCACATGACTGGTAGTCGTTCTGAAGAAAAAGGACTGGCCAGTCATTTTGCTCTTGCTTCTCGTTCTTGGGGACGAAGTACTTACCTTTGGTTGTATCGAAAGCATTATGGTGCATATTGACTTCCGTCGTTGAATGAGATTAAAGCTTTAGTCGACGCTAGCATGCGCCGCCATGATGACAGTATATCTTCCTTCATTACTACACCGCGGTCCACCTACCATGACTACCTACTTGTGTACCCTTGTGGGGTAGGCAGGCGCTCTGATTCAATATGGTGTATAGTATGCATTGTTTTTTGCGGTATTCTATGGAGTCCTGAAGACCAGACATCCAGGACTGCCGTTGGTACTGTGAGTCCGATACTTGTCGTATTCGTCATGATTGTGTGCAGCATCAGGATCACCAGAGAACCAGGATATTGCGTTTGTGTGGGGGTGGATATACCCGCTGCATGGATATCTGCTATTACCTTGTCTCGTGGATGCTGTCATGGAGTTTATGGGAATCCAAAGAGACCTTGCCCGCGACAATCGATCGTATAATGGAAGGATTGGCCTTACTCCTAGGTCTGTTGGCCTCGCAATCGAATGCTGAAGCGGATGCTCCAACTCGGGGCACTGCTCCTTCAACATCCTCAGGCTCATCTAGGTTTCAACTATACATGCCGAGCTTGGACGATCATGGTTCATAACAACTCTTCTATTTCCCCGATTTGGCCACACAACCTCGGCGCTTTCGTAGATTCGTCTCAGTAACTGCATGATAACGACTCTGTGCTACCACCATCGATTTACATAAAGCACCAGCTCAAGTGATTTGTCAGGCGCAGGCCCTTTGCAACGGACTCGAGAAGGTATACAGACTGATCAATCTACCACGGAGGCTCACTGTGACCATGATTGTGCCCCCTTGGGCGTGTACTTGGACGCATTGCCAAACTCTACATCAGGAGGGATCGTAAGGACAACGGCCAACGCAACAATATTGCATTCCGATGCTTTCCCAACCACGACTGCGTGGTCTCCTAGGCTGATCAGACTCGGTTGTTCTATCTATACTTTCGCACGTGGATGCAGAACTACAGTCTCAGATCTTCTTTTGACTTACTCGTATACAGCCAGCAATACTGGGCATCAACTACCACATCGTATTACTACAAATGTTGCCAGGTTCATTAGGTACCAGTAGCAGGGCATTGAACGTGAGTGGGTTCTGTATTAATTTACCCCCAGTGTTTTTGTAGAAGCGGTATATTTATGCAAGTGACCAAGCATCCAAGAGTAAATATGGAGGATGTGTAGTATAAATGTCTGGAAGAAGTGGAGAAGATCCTCTAATCAAATCTCCTGCGTCTGTAGCAGATATCCCGAGGTTTCTTTGGCATCGTGATCATGGTCTATGGAAGCAACGGTCAATAATATTCGTCAGCGGTGATGAACTGAAGAGACAAACATGGTAGTTGTGTGCTGGAATCTCTGTGATGCCATCCTCTAACCGAACCTCGACTTTGCGGATGATGCTGGATATCACGGTTCCCAGCTGCAGGTATGCGAACTATTCAAAAAATCAGCTAAATTCACTTCAGCAACCAAATAATCAAGCGCACCTGCTCGCCAATGCATCTGTGCCGCCCAGCACCGAACGGTTGGTACGGGCTCTCAGTTCCCTTGCTCACAGCACCGAAACCATAATCAATCTTCTCGCCGTTCTCGTCCGAGTAAGTCTTGAACGCCTGAGCAGCAACACCCTCGGGATCACTCCACCGCGTCGGGTCCCACTTCATGGGGTTAACCCAGATACGAGGGTCAACCTGGCTGACAGCAGCAGAAGCAAGCACGTAGTAGCCTTTCGGGACGACATAAACACCATCTTTGGAGGGGGCAGCGAGAGTCGCAGGAATCGGGACATCAGAACGGACGTAACGCATGATGCTGTGAATAGGCGGGTGCATGCGGAGCGTCTCGCGAATGATGGAATCAAGAACTGGAAGCTTGCGGAAGTCCTCATAGGTCATCGGGCGGAAAGAACCATCTGGGTTGCCGAAATGGTCGACTTGCTCCTGGTAAAGTGCTTCCCTATGATGACGATCAGTATATGTTAGCTGCCAATAACGAACAAAACTCACTGGACTTCGACGTTTTGAGCAAGGTGAAGAAGTGTCCATGAACCGGAGGCGGAGCTGGTGTGCTGTCCTGCCATGAGAAGGGCAATCATGATGTGCGCAATTTCATGGTCACGCAGAGGTCTGCCATCACGATATTTTTGATCCATCAAGGCGGAAATCATATCAGGTTCGTCCTACAGGATGCATCGTGAATATTCGTCCGATCTCATTAATGCAAACCGCCTTACAGAGTGACCTGATTCTCGGCGTTTGCGGATAATGTCGGTGTAATATTCGCTCATCTTCTTGTGCGCTTCGTCCCGACGGCGGTAAGATTCCAAAGGCAAGTTGGGAAACATGAAATTCAGCGGGGTGAACCCTCCATCAAGGTCGTTGTAGAGCGCAGAGAATGATTTGTCCAAACCACTCCTAACCTCCTTGCCTTGTAGAGTCCGACTGGCAGTCAAAATAGTGATTTGGGCCATGATGTCCGTCACATCGAAGCGTCCCCATTCATTGACGTCGTTCATTTGCCAGATGATGAATGCTTGATCGCTGCGCATGAAGTCGTCGACTTCTTGCTCGAACATGCTCATGTACGCCCGGAAGTTCTCAGTTGAGAGGCCGACTTTAACGAACTTCTTTTGCTCCATGAATACTTCGTTGGGGACATCATATACAACGTCTTTACCGAAGACGGGGGTCGTGAGGTGCTGTTTGTGGTTGAGAAAGACATTTGCAAGACCAAAACAATTGCACATACCGTGTACGCATCTTCTGCAGAGAACGCAGTGGATTTACCCCCCAAGACAAAGTTGTTGCCTTTGGCACCGAGTGCGACCGTAACCTTGCGTCCAAGTAGAGTGAATGTGAAGACATCGCCGTACTGAAGAAGAGTATGAGACAAGATCATGACATGAGAGATGTATGTCACACGACCGTACTTTTTCCCTGCACTTGAAGAAAAAATTGAGTGGATCATTGCCGTACGTGATGGAGGACCCAATGAAAGGGATCCAGTGGAACACTTCTGGAGGTAGTGAAGGATCTCGGGGAACAACCTGGAGGCATTGCATCAGTAGACACGTGAACAGGGGTTGCTAGACGCCTACCAGCTGCTTAAGAATGTTCAGCACGACGATGAGAAGTGGCGTATAGAAGAGTCCGAGCAGAACTGCTCTACCAGGAGAGGCGGCGACATACTGCCGCGTAGCATCAATAAAAGCTGCAACGTAGCCCGCAGCTGGGGCAGTCGAATTGAACGACATGAAAGAACGAAGACAAGATGCAATGGATGTCAATGCTCCCGCGCTGTCCAAGGGGCACTGGCAAGTCTCACGAACGCGACTAGTGTAACTTTGATTTTCAGCGCGCGTTTTATCCTCCCAAATGGGTTGTCGAACCATGGCACTCGGCTTAGTCATCTCACCATCCGAACCAATCATATCCCGACAAATAACTTGCTTCCGACGGAGAGAAACTCAAGAGAATGAGGTGAGCTTTAGAATATGCAGTGAATTAACCTATGGTGCATTACGACGTGTTAAAATCTAAATAAAGCAAAGCTATGTACCACCGCATAGCTCCAGAATGAATAGCGCCTTCAAACCGACCTGTATTTCCTTGACTCTCACATTCACATACTGCCCTACCGGAATTTCCGTAGTCCTAGGCGTGATAATTGTTGCTGGTAGACCAAGTGATGGGATGTAGCATGAAAATTGGTTCGTCAGCAAGTCGCGCCTCCTGCTAGGCTCTGTGATGTATGCACTGAGGGATTGCAGAGGGTCGATGCGATCACTGGAAGGGTTCGGGTGGTCAAGGAAGCGCTTGATGTACATGAGTGTCCACTGCATGCGATGACTCTGATCGCTATGCTTCCAAAGCTTCTCGTACGCAAGTACCTCGGTGGCGTAGGTAGTGAGCCACCCGGGAGTGAATAGGCGTGTAGATGCCTTCGGCCGAAGCAGTGCATCTTTGATCTGCCAATGCGCAACCAGATCGTTGTACCGTCGTAGCGGTGATGTGACACGCACATAACCTTCCCCTTCTGGGATACCCATTGACCAGTGCATACCTGGCTGAAGGATATACTCAACAGGTGGAATGTGCAATTTTGTCTGGAGGAACTCCGTGTGATCCACAAATCCATCCTCGTCCATCCTCGCAACCAGTCTCTCAATGTCTCCGTTGTCCTCGAGGGCTATCGGAGGCCGTGCAGAACGACGCAACATTGGTACTCCCTTTGCGGCGAACCACCGTGAAGCAACGCGGGATGCTGTTTTCATGCACTCGGCAACAAACAACCGCGAGCCGCGCTCTATTGTTTTCTGAGAATACACTTGATAGGTAAGGTTAGGGAAGCCACGATAATACGAAGGGTTCCAAGCTGGTGTTGTCGGAGCGCCGTGGATTGGTTTTGCAGTAGCCACAAGAGTAGCTGTTGGAGCTGAGAATACGAATGGATTTAGTGTCTGGCGGCTACGCTGTCGGAACCTGCGTGTCAGGACGTCGATAAGACGCATGTTCTCCACATCTTTGGTTTCTAGTACAGGTACATGGGAGACTCCGGGGGTTTGGGGTGCCTCGAATGGGTAGCCAAATTGAACACCTCCGTTTCCAAGAAGTCGATCCACACTATCGTAATCAACTCTTTTGACGTTGCGAATGAGACCCGCTTTAACATCGTAGTCGACTATGCTGCCTTCAGCATCTAACTTGAAGCTGAATGTAAGAACAGGCTCAGGCTCCCCTTTCTGAGAATGCGAGCACAAACTTAGTCGGTCGTGGGTAAGGGAGGGAGGTAGCATAGGCCATGTCCTGTGGATGAAGTATGCGGAGGAGCCCATTCGACGTGCTGCTTCTGCGATAGCATGAGTCGGTGGGAGGACAGCAGTGGGGTCTGCAATGTGGACATGTATCCAAGCCGAACCAGGTTCGTGAATAACAGGTTCCACCGACAAGCCGTCGTCCAGCTCTTCTGCGCTCACGTCGTCAATCACGTAGACTGGTAAGTTTCCGAAGTCGTGTCGCAGATGCTCGACGGGATCACGATCATAGAAGTCTTCTGGTCCTAATGGTTGCTTTGCCTTCGCTCGCTCGGGTCGCAGCAAAGACAGGCCCCTTTTGACCAGAGCGTCTTGATCTCTGACGCGCTGCGACTCCTCGTCCGGCGTCAAGTCCAGATTTAGCTCCTTCCTCTGGGTGACGATATCCTCCCAAGGGGCCATCTCTCCCATCTCTATCAAGAACTGCCGCAGACACACGTCGTCCACCATTTTATGAGCATGCAAGCCAATCCTCTTGATGATGGATGTGACCACTCCAGAAAAGGGATCAACAGAAGTGTTACGCGTTCTGCGTAATGCAAGATGCAAGACATCCAAGATGGTGCGATCATCTGGGGAAAATGTGATATCCTTTACGACAACTCTACTCAGAGGCTCATCCCAAGACTCGCTAGCCTTTTCTCTGGCAGTAAGAATAAGGCCCCGAGCTTTCTCGATAAACGCCTCCAGTTCCGGACTCCTTTTCCGCACCATATCCACGACTCTCTGCAGTTTGACAACATGGTTTTCTGGCCGCACGTCGTACGTGAGCGTAAGTCTCTGAGACTGCATGTGCGGCACAAATTCGATAGGGCGACCCATGATATATTTATGTGTCGCGACAAGAGTCGACCAGCTCTCCGGTCTATAATCGCACACCAGCTTCGCAGCCTCTGAAAGACTGACGGACGCCCACTCGTCTGGGTGCTTCGCCCGCACGTTGGGATATAGCATCGTGTTCTTCCGCCCAATGACCATGAATGCCTTGTTTATCTCTTTCTCAGCCTCCCGTAGGTACTTGAGGATTTCAACACGTGCATTAGTCTCTACGCGGTCCACTGGAGTTATGCCGGTGCCTGCGCGGAGCGTGAGGTCCCTGTCGGCCATACGAGGGACTTCGATGTACACATCTGACTCGACATGCTGAACGACTTCGCCTGTACTGATTAAGGAGAGATGCCACATGCGACCGTTCATATACGAATGGCCCAATACTATACCATGTGCATATATAGAACCCCTGCAACATCATAAGTCATCGAGAACAAATAATAAATAAGCCAAACCCACTTTCGAATCTCAACAAGGGATCCAACCTCTATATTAGAAGCTGACGAAGCGTCCTCCGGTCCCACCCCAAGGTCTGCATCCTCCACATCATTTGCGAAGGTAGCTTGCGTTTCTGTCATGGGTGGCTTCGGCTTCACCATATTCAGTAGACGCATTTCATCGCCTCGTAGCGTCTTCGTGTGTTTCCATGGACGTTTGGGAGTGAATTTGGTGCCAGCGGCAACACGGACGAGCTTATCCGTTAGCTTGGCAGCCGCAGCGAGCTCACTGGGCGGTAGCTTTCGAGGTCGACGGTTAAAGCTTTTTAAATCATTGTTCTTGATTGGCGTGACTATTGGAGATGATTGTTTTGGCTGGACATTGGGCCAGATGTCTGCAACCAGTTGGCCGGCACGGCGATGCATGAAAGGAAGCGGAGGAAAATGAAGGTGTGGCTGTGCCAAAAGTTAAGACTGAAAGACTGAAATGGTTATCAAGCTTATTCGCTACTATCCATTCATCTTTCCTTCGTCACTCATCACCATGTTCAAACGAGTCGAAAAGAAGCGCAAAAAGCTGGAGGAAGAGGAAGAACTAGGAATTGATGAAGATATGAAAGAGTTCATGGGATTCAACGACACCGATTCGGATGAATCTGCGTCAGACTCGGACTCTGACTCTGACGAGCACTCGGACGCAGACCAATTGCAATCAGGCGAAGAGGACCTGGAGGAGGAAGCTGGAGACGAAATGGAGGATGTCGATGCCAGCGATGATGAAGAACCGCCCATCTTGCTATCAGAAGCATTGCGGGACCCTATTTATGTCGTATCGCTCGACCCAGATGTCCGAGCTTGTATATCATGCAAGGGCAAGGTCATCAAGGGCACTCAAATGTCGACAGTCCACAAAGCATCTATTGTATGTCCCTTTCTCTGAATATGTAACCGGAAAAAGACGGAGGTTCAGGCTGCCGCAGGCTCATACACGACGTTTCGAGCGCTTCAAGACCTCAGCAGCGAAATGTGACCCGCAGAGCGACGCCTGGCAAATTGCAAGGGCAGTACAAAATGAGGCGTCAAATTCTGCTGGCACTCAGAATCGTCCTGATGCCGGTCTGTCGAAGCGTGCCCTTAAAAGAGTGAGTGGTGTATCACGCTATTTTCGATGCGAGTTTTCTCAACACTAGTTTTTCAGTCAGCGAAGCAAGCCTCGATCAAAGAGAAGCGAACGCTCCACAATAAGCTTCGTACCAAGGCAATAGCAAAAAAGGTTGCCAACAGAGGCCCACCATCCCAGGATGCAGCAGAGAAGGAGTTACCGGCAAGCAAGACGCTTGAGCCAAAGTCGCAAAAAGCTGGAGCGGCGAGCAGCGACAAAAAATTGGTGAAGAAAGGGGAGCGGAAGGCCGATGACAAAGTTCACGACGTAGAAAAATCTGACGTATCGCTCGGTGACAAAAGGACGGTGAAGAAAGGAGACCGGAAGCCTCCTGGTTCTAAACTTCAAAACGTAGAAAAATTGGACGCATCACCTCCAAAGCCACTGGAGCCTCAAAAGAAAAAGCGCAAGGTGCAAAAGGATCAAGTCGCAACCCCCGCTGCTCTACCACAATCTCCAAAACGGTCGCAGGAGAAACCTCTCAGAAAACCGAAGGCACCTCGTGAAAAAGAACGGACAAGAGCTAAGGCTACTTGAGTATGTAGGTAATGTGTATCGATCAATCCACATCACGACGTTAGATATGCATAGACAGCTGCGAGATAAATAAGTAAAGGAACAGTCCCAGTCATAAAGGCATGCTCTACAACAGCGACTGTAGGACTCTGTCGGTCATTGCAATGACCTAGAGGGATTCCTTCAGCAACGTTGATACTCCTACCAGAAACACGTACCTGGTGAATATTCGGTCTGTCTTTGGGGTTAATTTTCAGCATACAATCAATCAAGTCCTTCAGCCCTTGTGAATATGCCGAGTTCGGGTGCTTATACTGAGCGTTCAGTACAGCCATCGCAATCGAGCCACCTTGTTCCGTCGTTTGGATGTTTTCAAATGGCGAGTGAGAGTATGCAAGAGCAAAGAGTGTACATCCAAGTGACTGCGAAGGATTAGAGAATGCGTGAACGGCGACGGGAAGACCTACCCATATATCAACTTTCTCGTCAAGAGTGATGCCCGTCTTCACATCGAAAAGTTCTGGAGCGCGGTATGCCATCGTGCTTTGCTCCGCGGCAATATCCTATGAGATAAACATGAGATAAAATACAGTATTAAATATAGGACTGCATATACCTGCTGCAGTAGAGCCAGTGATCGACTATCTATCTTTATTCTTGCTTTTACAGTACTCCCAAAGTCCATCAGTATGGGTGTGACTCCATCGTCCGCGATCATGATGTTCCTGCGATGCAATGTCAGAGGTGCGATAACAGATCGACGACAATATTTCTACCCAGGTTTCAAGTCCCGGTGAGCATATGGAACATGTTCGCGCTTTCCCTGCGGCACATTGCCATTTTGGGCGGTTTGAATTGCAGATGCTTCTTCGTCACCATCAAATATCACGTCCCTATCCCCCTCGGCACGGTGTTTCGTCATGAGGGGCATGTTCACGGACTTGTCGTAAGAATAGCCGCCCTCATTATCACCCTCCGGGTGCGGGAAAAGTTCATCCTCTCCGTCGGAGTGGTCCTCCTCCACGCGCGAAGATGAACTTGATGAGGATGCTTGAGGTTGGGCAGAAGAAGAGCCAGTAGTTGTGTGGTAATCATGCATCGCACGCACGGCTTCGCATGTCCCCTTGAACAGCCTAATCATATCTTGCTCAGGGAAGTGCTTCCCATTTACAACGTTGAGGTTGATAGCATCTTGAAGGTTCCCGCGCTTTATTTCCAAAGGTCTATGGATGTTCCATAGCAAAGCACATCATAGAAACATACCTGATACAAAGGCAAGAAGAGGTATACAATCTTGCCTTCACCTTCGGGATCTTGAACGACAGCAGAGTCCTGTGCAGTTATTCAGGAGCTACAAGAAGATCATCCGTTATCACTCACGAGTATCCGAATGATATTTCGATGTCTAATAGTATATTTGAGACATTGATAACGTGACCATCATTAACTTGACTTACTTGAAGCGTCTGTATGCCTCTACCTCCCGCATAGCCTCTTTCACGCCTTCCGATCCTGTAGGGCATCTTATTTTTTTGAGAGCGAATTGCCGCTACGTGTATCCCAACCATATGTGAGATGTTGTAAGGAATGAACTCATGATATCACACACCCCACTAGTCTCGTCTTGTGCAAGATACACAAAGGAGAATCCACCTTCACCGAGGACTTTTATAATATTAACTGAGATCATAAACCCACGTTAGCAAGCCTGCTAGGTCCAAACGAATGTTCCAGATGTTCGTTGAAAAGGGTATGACTGACATGTTCGACCATTAATTTTTACTTTGGCTGATTGCTGGCAGAGACATGAAGAGAGGGCCCAGATAGCGTCTTTTGCTTGATCCTTGAGACTGTCGAACACGCGAACAACCTGAGAGAAAGCCATAAAAGTAACGGTAAGAGCAGACTTCAATCACCGAGAACAGTCACTGTCACTCGGCGGGTTCGCAAGAGACACAGCCACAGCCGTTATGCGCCTGGTCTAAAAATAGCAAGCACTTTCCAAAAAGTTTGTTTTCAAATTTGACTGAGTTGGTGTGCAAAGTCAGGGGGACACCTGCAGGATATCTTGCAGTGAAACTCAAGCTAGTAGACGGACGATGGAGAGCACCGCATTACCGTAGTAGTCGGGGACCACCACATGATTTATCAAAGGAGATTTATGGCCGGAGCGCTGTTTCGTTTAAATAGACTCTAAACGTTATGGAGCTAGTGAAAATTTATTTGCAGACCTACGGGCGCCGTGAACTAACGTGAGTGGTAAATCCACTAGCTCCTACCGGTACCCGTGTCCCTTCCTGTTGGGACATCCACAGGTTTCTTCAGTTGATTGGATTGTAAAACTCAAAATTTAGTAGGGCGTCACAGTAAATGATTCTGGTAGCGCTCCTGGGGTTAGGGTCGTAGGGGAAACTTGCCAACTGATTATCATTCAAACGTTAATTTTACAGGATCGCATGCAGCCAATTCACCGGCATGACATATCTGTCTGGGGATGGCTACACCCTGCAGTCGAGTCTCGACTCCTGCCATTACAAGCAGCATACTACGGGTGTCACGGCGTCTGCAAATTACAGGTGCTTGGTCAGTAATTCTCCATATGAACTGTAATATGAGGGTGAGCCACCATCACCTTGCCACCACACCCAAAATGCGTGTACCATTGGAAACTTGGCACTGTGCAACGTTCAAAAGCACTGTTACCGTTGCCTGAACTCGGAGCTTGCTTGACCTTGGCGGCTTGGCCGCAACTCCAAATTTCCAGGACCCCCGTCGGTTGGCCGTAGCTCCGCGACAAATTCAAGTTACTCGATTACTAATTATGAGGCTCAACTTTCTTTGTTTTATTGTTCTAATTTTTGTCTTCAACCTCAAAGCCAACATATGTATGCAGGTCAAAGCATTCGAAAAAAAGCATCTCATGATTTCTGTTCCCAATATTGGGAACATGCCGATGATGGTTACATGTTATTGATCGGCTGGTGGCAGTCACGGTATCAGATACCATGATAGACTCGCAGGCGCCACTCTACCACCTGATACAAAGATGTTGATCCTGGCCACCGTTCTTATCCACAAATTCCACAGTATCGTCAAACACAATCACAGCACGCCATTGTACATTTGCTGTAGATGCTTGTGGACTCCGCAGAAGGCTGGTGGATGTGGACGTAGCGCTTTAACAACAAGTGCTATAAAATGCCTGCACAGGTGCCAACGACAAGTAAGTTACTGTCATCATCCAACATACCTATCTCCTCCAAGTATAATCATGTCTTACCCGTACCCTCTCGCTAGGCAAAACGCCCAAGCATCATCTTACTCAACACTCTCCGGTGCACTTGACCCTGCACCGGCTCAGTCGATGTATTGTCCCGTTCGGCCGAACGCTACCCCCGATGAAGTAGGACTGTTTATGTTTTTTTCGTCATTCTACTGACATGTTCGTAATTACGATTCATAGGGAATACCGATCTCCCAGTATTTACGTGCTCAGGCATCGGCAATCCCGGACCTCTCAGGTGCCCTCGGCCCTGCACCACACCAATATGCAATGCGTTCACAAGCCCCCGTGTATGCTGTAAGTGATGCATGTTGGGGTACTTGACAATTGACTTATGCGTTGTGAATTTGTAGGGGGCACCCGTCACCACATACTCAGCCGTCCCCCATACGTTAAGCGGCAACTACGAAGGGTCGTTTGTGAGTGCACGTAAAACACTCGCCGTTATCACTTTCTAATTCCCGAAGTCTGCCCGCCCTGCTTACCCATACCCTGAGAGGAACGTTTTACACCCTGCCAAGTACACGGCCAACATGCCGCCCGCTGCGCACAAAAAGACGTACAAGATCGTCATTCCTTCAGGATTCCATCAGCTGCCACAGCCAATTGACATTGAAAAATGTGCGGGGCCGACTTCGTGGAGCAGGATTGGATCCCAGCATGCCGGTATCAAGTTTAACAGGAAGGGTGGAGGGTCCCCGTTCCGTGTTGACGAGTTGATTGAGCTCGAGGATAAGCCAGAGGTAGAAGGTGGCCATGATCAGGTGTTTAATGGCATGGAAGAGAGGTGCATCAAGGTCTTGATCACGGTCAGTTGAAATACCGGTCCATTTTTGCGGTAATCTGATATCCTTCCGTTGTAGTGGCCTGGATACAGTCAATATCCCGTGGAAAGGCGGGTCTCCACCGAGAATGGAACTTTCAAGAGGGAAAGGCTGCTCAAGTTGTTGGCGAAGTACGTCGAGGAGCTTGTGCACGATATCCACGTACGTCCAAGTGTACTCACATTTTTTGTTGATACTGATAAGCCTGTGCAGCGCAGATCGAGACGTGTGGAAAAAGGATACGAGAAATACGAGCTTGCATGGAGGCCACGCGGGCTGCCCAGCATCTGGAGAGACTGTTTGATCACTAGTCTTGTCCACATATCGGGATCCAACTGGCAGGTAGAACTTTATGTGAGGGCTTGATGGGGACGACATGCTGGACTTGCGTATCATTATTCCATATAGGTATATTGTGGCATAGCAAGCCTGGAGCTTGCGGGTATCATGTATAAACAAAACACTGTCTCTTACGTCATGTATACTTGCATGTATCCTCGATGGCCGCGGGGGCTCATAAATGAGAGCTGCCATCTGCGGGCTGTTCCTCAACGGAAACTTTGGCACCCAGGCGAGATATCTCTGAGAACGCTGCCTTGAGTAGGTCAAGGTCAACGTCCAAGCCCTCCGCCCGTGTCTTCATCTACCAAGAGCAATGAGACTACACAAAGATATACCTAATGAATTTACACACCGCAGCTATAGTATCACTAGCTGCAATCAGCTCATGATGGTGGTTGTAGACCAGAGACTGCCTATCACCATCAAGTTGTCGTATTTCTGAACATCCGAGTCAATGAGCGGACGTCTCACACAGTCTTGTATAACACGAACCTGTCAGTAGGTCATTCTCTCGCTTCAGCAGAGCCGAAAGAGACGATGCAGTTATAAGTTGTTCATAGTATGATTTTGCGTCAAAGGCTGCTGAATCTTTGATAGCAAAATGAGAATTGGGCTTGAGAGCTTGATGACTTTCAAAGCATACCTAAATCCATGGGGTCGTCTGATCTCCCGGGTAGAGGTGGCGGTGGACCTACTCCGAGGCCATAGTGCTTCCTCAAGAGATCTCTAGCGCGAGACTTTGCAAGAGGCCCTGCGGGTGTTTTTGTATGGGTCGTTTGTCCGACGCCAAGTGAGGGTCGACGAGAATTGGACGGAATTACGGTTGAAGAACTTTGGGGCGACGTTGGTCGCAGCGGAGACGAGAGCACTCTAGGGACTGACTTCACACGTTGGATCGTTGGCGATGTAGGTGTCGACTGTGTGGTGGACATGACTATACAGGGTGTCACTTCAAGCGTATTACAATAATAATAGCACGCAATTGACGCGATCACGTGCCTGTGTAAATATCGGCATTGAACGACTGAGTCGGACCGTCCAACAGTGACCGAGTCACTTCAACTGAATTGACTTACAAGCACCTATTAGGCAAAATATGGCCCCATGGTACAGATGACTTGGGTTATCGCTGATAGCGAAAATGACCAAGACGGCTTGTGACATTGATATTACATGATTGGCGCTCTCTCTGGTGAGTAAATTGAAGAGCCCCAACCATGCCATGTCAAGCCTCATTCAGGCTGGGTCAAGCCCCATTCATACCACAACAAGTTCTCCCCAACACCTTCGCAACCTCCATATTAATGTCAACCTCCACACTTACTCATGCCCGAATGCGAACAAGATAATGGTTTAGGAGAATTCTATTCGAAACACCAAATAACTTAAGTACTAGTACATAGTCCAATATCAGGGAAACTTAGTTCAGACCACTTTGTCCTTAAAATCCACTTCGCAACATCAGATGACTAAATAAGTACCACGACGAATTCTGAGATCAAGAAAGAAACAATCTCCTGCTCCCTGAAGAACACCAGACAACAGTTAGCTCTACCGAGTATCTCCTGTGCTATACACCATTGCCAGTCGATATATGCACGCGCTCCTGGAAAGCAATAGAGGTCATGGCAGTTGCTGCATCGGAGTCAGCCACGAGCTTAGCGGAATATTCTCGAACCCCAAGGATCAGGCGTGGTCCCAGCACAGACGACTGCACGACCGACAAAATCTGAAGTAAGCCATAATAAATCTCAGCTTCCAGGGGAGACTAGAAATGATGAACCATAGTCGCACGCGGAGGTTAGTGAAAGATTGACATACCGCTGAGAATGTTGGAGAAAAAAGAGCGAGGTCGAGGGAAGAAACAACAACAAAGCTAGTAGGTTTGATCTCTCAGCGGCAAAAGGAAACCATATTCACAATATGAGCTCACCTCGCAAAGTAAATTACATGAGTTTTCATCAACACCGTAAAACAGTCTTCGATAATCCTTCCTGTCGAATTTTGTCGCAGTTCACGGAAGTGTTTTACCGCAATCCAGACGGCGAGACATAGTACGAAGACCTCCCACGCAGTTCCGAGTATCCAAGTAATGACATTCAGAAGCATGGCATCCTGCGCAGAGCCAATAGAGCATACATAAGTGCCAGAGAGAATGAATTCATCTAGTATTCATCAATGAGATGCATATTTTTTGTCATCCACGATTAAGCGTACCCGCTGAAGCATCCATCGATACCATTATGGCTACCACTCCGTTGAAAATGTTGTCAGCCAGGAAGGGGACAATGAGAAATATCAGGAGCTTTCTGGATCGTTGATACATGGCATGTAACCGAGTGATGATGATGACTTGCAGCATGTTCCATTCAAGTCAATATCACTGGGGTCTCACAAGTGTCAAGCTCACCCGACAGCATTGTAAATACCACAACACCGGTCCAATTCCGTACAACGTAGATAATACAGCCTGAGGAATCCGGTCAATGATCAGCCTCGGGTAGCACACCCTCCAAACAGACTCACATCTGGGGTAGTATAGCGTGGCAGTCATTAGTGAACCAAAAAGTCAATATAGAGAATTATAGTTACCCCTACGGGGCACCACGGTTAATTGAAGGGGAATAATAAGCAGGCATGGTGCAGAAGACTCACTACATCCGTCGCCGAGATCGTCGGAACACTGGCTGTGTGCCGCTAGTCAGAAGAAGCAAGGACATCGAATGTGAGAAGACATACACACTATGTTCAAGCTGATTGTGAGAGGTAATTCATTAGTACAAGGCCAGTGCTGAGGCTTCCGAACATACGCAGCAGATAACATTCCAAGGTAGCGCACCTAGGATACTGTCAAGTCAGCACAACATGACAACCGTGACAGGCAAGCTACATACACCGAGATACATAACCGTCATTAGGGTCCAGCGTTGTCTCTGGAATTAAGTATACTTCATGTGTTTTCCTCCGACACGAGATTCTACTCATACTCACCCAGACCAATTCGACCTATAAAATCATTCTTAGCGAGATGGCTGCTCCGATCATAGCATTGACATACCTCTTGTCCAAATGTAAGTACTGAAAATACTTGTAAGATATCAACAGTCCTTAGATATTATCATGCTCACCCCAATCATACGTTACTGCAACAAAGGCGACTACTGCGAAATCACACCCAATGTTAGATTGAGACTTTGGCAACATCAATATCCGACAACTCTCCACGAACCTACAAAATAGCTGTGGAAAAGATATTGATCGATGGCTGGCCACCAAGCGGGATCATTTGAGACTATGATCATATTGGTAGACAATGGGTGTAGGTTAGAGGCGGGCTCGGTGGACGTATGACGATAGCATTCGTGCTAGATATACCACAATCATTCGGTTGAATCACCGAAATGAGATTGAGAGATAATATCCGTTCTTGCATTGATTGCCCAAAGGATTTTTACATAAAGAAAGATGGACTTCAACGTAAATGTTGGTCGTGAAGCAGTTGCGTGGGCAAAATACTTGAACACCGCGAGAGATCGATGAACTTCGACATGCACTTGCTCTCTGCCTCGATCATCGGACTTTGCATCATAAGGATGCCAAAAATGGTGTGTGCAGAATCTTCAATTTGCAACGTGGTGTTGGTGCGGTGGTGACAGGCATCGGTTTGTATAGCCGGAGACATCCTAGTTGAGATCCGTAATTGATATCTGGCGAAGATACAACGCCATCTAGATTAACACAGCGCTGAGAGAGGACATGGAATAAGAAGACTCAGGCGCGAAGCCTGATGTGCTGTTCTTCAAACTGTACATGCTGATTTCGTAAAACTTGATTGACGAGCCTCAGCAGTGTCCATATCCTAGGGCTCTTGATTTGTATGAGAAGGACCGAAGGCGATAACATTCTGTTGGCACGTCATCAGAAAAGAACGAGTTGAGAGAAGCTCACCCGCGCCATACAGCTGCCAATGCGCACACTTTGATGCTTATTCAAATGAAAACCGATGCAAAACTTGGTCTAAAAAAGACCTAGGCATGATGCAACTCTTCGAAAAAGCTTGCTATGAGCATAGCAGTCTCCCTGAGCACAACAGGACCTCCGTATTATTCAATAAGGAGAGCCTATATCGACATTGAATATGTAAAACAAGGGAGAAGCAGATATATCACTCACCTGTATAACCCTTTCGATGAATAATCCGCGTCCTAAGCATATGCACACCTTCTCGCCCTCCACCTCGGTCATTGGCCTATCATATCATAAGGATGCTCACTCAATTTGCAGCGTGTGGTTGATCGGACGCAGATGCATCAATCGTCATAGCCTGATTCATAATCCATGATTGATGTGCGGTGAATACAACACCATACCGTACCTCAACTACAAACTGAAATGAGAGATGAAGACCCGGACGATTGTCCTTGCAACCACAGGTTTCAAATTGCGCCATGAAAGATTGATGATCATGTTCTCGATGAGCACCGATCAGCCAAGTTCCAACTGTTGGTAACACCGTTAGAAAAGTTGGAAAAAGAAGTAAATGTCACAAAGTAACAGTCGACCTGGGCCGCAATATCACAGTAAAGGCAGTGCCACTTTGATGTAAACGCACGCTATGCTAAATTCATCATACAAGCGATGTATCTTGTATGCTGTGAGAATTGCAACTGGGAACTAAATAACTTGCACTGTTTGTTGCGTAGGGTTGTGGATAGAAGCACAGCATGCACCGTGTTGTGGAGGAGTGAGTGCCTGCAGTGAGGTAAATTTGGAGATGGACGCTCCGCAGATGTATCAAGGCGAGCGGTTGATGGTATGGTTGGTTGGTGGTCAGGTGGGATTAGTCGGTAGACTTAGGTGCGAGATTGGTCGACTCTCGTCCAACGTTTGTGCATGAGCCTGAGCACGGTTGAATGTTTGGGCAGCGTGTTTGGTGATCGGGAGGAAGCGAGGAGAGCGAATGCCTGAAGCACAAAGGATGACTCGTCATATCATGGTGAGAAATTGCACCTCTTCATGCACCCACGGAACAACACCATCATTCAACCTCCAAATTCCCTATTACTGAAATCGATGGATGCTCCCGGTGATCTTCGTCCACCGGGCGTTATAAGGCCCTACTCAGTGGAATTCTCAGATGAGACATGGCTTAGTGGGCCAATGGCACTTGCATTTGGAATGGATGCAACAATCCCTGCTGAATCCTGATTGATAGTATACGGATGACATTCGCTTATGTCAGAACTTTTTTTAAGGCATTATAATCCATTACAATTGCCTAGTAACGACACGGTCCCATTATAATACATTACGATCCAACAGTCAGCATTTTAATGCTCATCAAAATGATGATATAATGAGCATATTAATAGACATTTTAACGTAGTCTGAATGTGCATTTTAATGTAGTCCGAATGTGCATTTTAACGTAGTCTGAATGCACATTGTAACAAAGTTTAAATGCACATTTCCAGGTTACCAACCAAGTCTTAATGCTATAATGATCATTCTGATAAAGGCGATGATGAACATGTTATTGCATATCAATTGCTATTGTCAGATCAAGTTGATATGAATATTAATATACATTGTGGTATGCATAATGAAAAGAGAAATAGTGTCCCTGGTCCTATCCTTCTTGCCTTTGTCTGTCGCTGATGTGGCCTGTTAAGTGGTACCAATGGCAGTGGAAGGTATTGAAGCAGCAGTGGGAAGTGGTTGCTCTTCACAGTAAGAGGGTGCTCTGGGTTGTTGCATGATATGAATACTGGGGGGTCAAGATGAGCTGGCAGCTTTCTTCTGTCCAGTGTGATAATTTCCCTGTGTGACAAGGAGTCAGTGATAAAGAACTGCAAAAGAGAAAAAATGCACAGGCTTTCCCACTGTGCACAGGATCTTCAAGTTGACCTCTCACTACTAGATATTTGATCCA